GTAGACTACATTTATTACGGAGTTTATGTCCGAGCCAACAGACTCACAGATCATTGGCTACTGAGAGAAATGAAAAATACATGTGGTACGACACAAACCTCCATTGTCGATTTTCAAAACAAAATACAGTAAAACTATGGTCGCAGTTTGAAGTACCTATGGTGACAGATGGAGACTGAAAAAGGCCTCCTTTTGATTATTTTTTAAGTTGTCCTGCTAACTAAGCTAACGTTTTAATCAAATATTGTTGGCTTTCTTAGCAGGTCTCGCTTGGTTCTTGCCCTTGTTGGTTCTGCATTTACAGTAATGGTTGGAATGAGGTCCCATGTTACCAAATAAAGATGGTGACAAAAAGTTTCATCCTTTCCTCCACTGGTTATTCAAATGTTACCAGCCATCAGTAAACTCACCCGCGTGTTCCCGGTCCTGGCTCTGGATGTGGTTGTGGCTCTCATTAAAGTTGCGTGTCGGGCTCTCAGACCTGAGGCCCCCCGGCTGACTCCTGACCTGTCCGGGGCCGCTGCCTGATTCAAACCCGCTGAACTGTTGCTGGGACTCGGCATGTGGTTCTGGTTCTGGTTCTGGTTGAGGGCCTGGACCACATTGTGCTGCAGCATACTGAGGCACTCCCCCAGGCAGCTCAGAGTGGCAGCTGAAGGTTAAAAAGGAGAAGGTCCTTGTCCAATGGAAGGAGGAGAGAGATAAAAAGGACGGGGAGGGGAACATTCACATTTTAGTTTCAGATTGTTCTTGGTTTATTATCTATGAGTGTGAGGGTTCTACAGTACTGCAATACTACGTGGTGTTTGTCCACCGCTTTATTGTCAAAATTGCATCACCAATTGAATCAGAGATACAGGATCTCAGGATTTAATGGTAAATGGATTGCACTTATATTGAGCTTTATCAGGTCTTTTCGACCCCTCAAAGCATCGCTTCATAGCTTTACGAATAGCGAGTCGTTCACCCATTCACACCTCATGCATGCAGAGCAGTACCACTTGCTCTCTCGTGTTTCTCAAACTTTTTCATACCAAGGACCCCTTAACCAATAAAAAACACTCGCGGCAGGTTTTACACCTCATATGAAATGTAGACTACATTTATAACGGAGTTTATGTCCGAGCCAACAGACTCACAGATCGTTGGCTACTGAGAGAAATGCAAAATGCATGTAGAACGACACAAACCTCCGCTGTGGATTTTCAAAACAAATCAGTAAAACTATGGTGCAGGCCCAAGTTTAACTCTGAGGTCTAAGCCATATTTTCACAGTGTCGCCTGGGCTTTTTTTTGTAAAAATGCTATTAAAACATGAACCTTGGTGACCATCGGGCTGGCCTGCATGGTCTGTCTGCAAAACAAAAATAAAAAAACGTTTTTGCAGCCCCACAACAGCCTCTGATCATCAACAGACTTCATGCAATGCTTCGTTGGATGTACATATTAGATCATACTCTCTATCTAACTCCTAACACATCTAAATCTACTTCCAGCATGGATAAATGTTCATAAAAGACATCCATTGTTTGTTTTATACGCTTCTTCACATCCTAAAAAACACAGCGTTTTTCTAGAACAGATTACAAATCAGTTGACAGGGGTCGCCAGTGTCTGGCACTGTTATTTTGGGGGTCGCGGTCTGAAAAGTTTGGGAACCCCTGCATATCTAAACAATACACAATATACTGAATACTTTAGAATATACAATCGCACTAAGCTACAGAAATATATAGAACACACATTATACATTACATTTACTTGGTTAATATGCTGTTATTTGTTGAAATATAATGTTGGGACTGAGTATTTTGGTGGAAGAGCAGGATAACAACAATAGAAAAAGTGATGTTGGCTTTCCTGGACTTTCAAGACTTTAGGGCGATTTTGCATGAGTGTCTGTGTCTGCCCTTTTCTGCAGAATTCGCTCTATAGCTTAGATCTCTCTGTCTCTCCCTTTTTGCTTCCCTTGCAGCCACTGTGCGCCTTGCTCAGAGAGAAGAAAGCGCTTGTTTGTGCAGGACCCTCTCACCTGTAAATGTTCCTGCAAATTCACACAGTTAGACTGCAAGTCCAGGCAACTTGAGTTAAACGAAAGAACTTGCAGGTTTGTTTACCATACGTACTCGATAAACAACGTGCCTTTAAACCCCCTTTATTATTTTCTCCCCCCCTACCTGTCTACCCATCTCTGTGCTTGCTGCAAAGTTTTTTCTCCTGCTGAGGAACGCATGCTTCTCCCTGCTTCTTGGTCCTGTGTTGGTGTTTGGGAATGTGGCAGCTCTGTGCTTCTCTGTGCTTGCATTGTGTTTTTGTACAGTCACTTCAGATTTGTTCATTGTTTATGATGTTTTTAGATCCAAATGTAGTTTTTATCCAGTCTGAATGCTTAAGATGTTAGTGCTTGCCTGACACTATGTTATTATACCAGGGTTAGAAACTCCCAAACGTCTAGTTAGATTGATATATGTTTATGACAGAACGTTTTTCTTTGTTTAATAATGGACTTTGTTTTAGCTAGATGAAAAAACACATTATATAAGGGAAAGGATTTTGTGGTTTTATAAGCTTAAGAGTGGAGCATTATGCATATAAAGGGTTGGTTAACCCATCTTTTCACTCACCTTTGGTGGTATCTAGCTTTGTAGAGACTCAATGCTTAGAGATATCCACTTCCTGCCACCCTAATACAATAGTAGTGAATGCAATCTAATTTGGGATGCAGGAAAATAGTCTTTATGCAGAAAATCCCCATCAATGTTAGCTTTGTTCTCATACTGAAAAATCTCCATTTGCCTCTGAAGACTTTGAGAAAAAGACAGAAAGCACCGGGGGGAGAAGTTAGTAAATGATGCAAGTCTTTAGTGTTTTAGTGCCATAGTTACGCAATACAACAGTACATTGGAGACAAGACAGTGATAACATCTTAATCAATCTGTGAGGGAGTTTTAATCTGGCTTTGTTACCAGTAGACAATGAGTTTGTAACAATGTCCATGATGTTCCAGTTTTCTACAAAGCAGGTGTTCATGCGTCAGTGCTTAATACTTTTACTCGGAGGGGGTTTCACTCATTCTGTACTGTTTGTAGCACAGCTGATAGAGAGGTGCTGCCCCTAGTTAACAAGGTCTCACTACCTCCCCTGACCCAACCACTTCCATAACCTCTGACCCCCCCAAGCCAGCCCCCCCCCTGAGGGATCTCCCACACTGATTTGTATTTGCAGAGCCAACACACTCCTGGGTGAAGTGACCACTGAGAGGATTCTGATTGGCTGCCCAGTGGTCAGGAGAAATAGTGCAGGCTGACCTAAGGATGGGGGGGGGGGATCTCTGGAAGTGGGGTTAGGTCCCTGTTCAACCTCACCACTTAAACCTACCCCCAATTCCAGCTATAACCCCCACCCTGAACCCAGAAAACACACACGTACTGTTTATGGCTTATTTAATTGAAAAGGTCCATTTTATATATAGCAGAAAAAGTACCAGGAGGTGCAAACTGACCCAGATCATACATCCCACAACCCCGACCCCCCCCTGACTATCCCCTTTTGCTTTTGCTCTGCCCCTGCCTTTATATAATCCCTCGTTTTGCATGGAGCAGTTGTGTGTGAGACAATCGTGTTGATCATATTCTGAGACTAGGCTGTTTAAAAAAAATATTCTGGCATCATCTAACCAGATTTGTTCCTTGTCTTCCACAGATGTGAGAGACCGAGGAGGTGAGACCAGCAACACTGTTATGAAGGAATTATTTTCTTGGCTCAGCACTTTGAAAACCTGAGGATGCATTCCCTGCCAGGACACGAAACGACAACGCAAGACAGGACATTCTTAAACGCAACTCTTGCCAGTGTTTGTTTTCCGTATAAAGATATTAATATATATGTACATATACTATAAGTACATCGACAATGTGTATTGCTGCTACGTAAAAGAGACACTATTTAAAGCAAAACGAATGCGCCACTGGCGTGTGAACGGGAAATGTTTCAGTGGCGTTCTGCTCATGAGTAGAATTTGTAGAAGAGATTTTATGTGACATTTCACTGGATGCTGGTCTGCTGTGGATATCTTAAAAATATTTTTTACTAACAAAAAACGAGCAGTGCAGCAGGAGCCGAGCTCCCCTTCCAAACTCTGACAAAGGAGACTTGAAGAAGAAGGAGGAAGAAGAGCCTCTGTTGTACTTGAACTGAAATGCAGGTCCAAGAACTGTTTCCCTCTGAGACATGATGTGAAGCTTTGTCCCCACTGTATGGACCGACTCTGTGTGGAAACACACCTGGAAAGTCTCTCAGAGTTTCCTGAAGTAACTGTGGATGCAGGTGATGTGCCGTGGTGACGGATAAATGTGAAGATGACCTTCTTTCCTCGTGGGAGGGTTACGTGACAATGGCAGGAACTGAACCAAAGAGTAGCTCATGGGGAAGACTAGCAAGTACAAATATTTTATGTAAAAAAATATGAAAATTGGGTTAGTGTTCAGGTTTTTCTTTCAGGGTTAAAGTTAATAAACCACTTCCTGGTTCTGGTTCCGCCTCCTTCATGTAACCCTTACCTCGATTGGAAACCAGACATGTCTCTCTCTTTGTGCACAGAGTTTATAATTTACATTTTGAGGTATTGTGTTTCTTTCACAAAATGTCTTGAGACCAGGCTGTCTAAAGGGATATTACTGTAGGTATATACGGAGACAAGAAGTGAACAGACAAGCTGATCACATCAGATCAGCACCTCACTGTACAAATCCACAAACTTCCGTATTTAATGGCTTTGTGTGTGTTCCAAAGAAAAAATCAGGCATCCACAGAAAACCTAAACGATCTGTATATACTTACTAGATATCCCTTTGTCTAGTACACTTCATTTTTATTTATAGAAAATCCTCAGTATTCTGCATACTGATATTTATATTCGGTGTTAAGGTTATTTTTTTAAATGTATTATCGGAGATTGAATGGAGAACGTGTATGACTGTTGACTCCTTTTCTGTGGGAAAAAGGACCGATGCTTTGACATTCCTGATTTAAACTAAAGCTGTTTCTCAACGGCTAGAGGGGTGGGGGGAGGGGGATTATGGTGGGCCTGTTGACCGATATTAACCCCTACCACCAACATGTGCATGAATGATGCGCCAACACAGGTGTTTTTCATTTTGGACTGGGGACATGGACATGTGGTTTTGCACTTGTTGGCCCAAAGGCACATGGAAGACTGAAGTAGTCTGCTGCTCAGCTCGGACCTAATTTAGTGAAGACTGTCCAATCAGACGGGGGCCTCCAGTCTGACGGTGGTAAACTGGCCCGGTGTCTCTATGACCTCAACCCAGCCTCATTCCTAAGTATTACACTGATGTGTGCTTCACTTGGCACAAATTACCGTAATGCTACATTTTGGCGAATGAGAAAAGAGCTTCCTCATTGATGAGCCATAATAGAGGAGAAAATAGGATATAAAGTTGGTAATGATGAAGAAATAGTATAATATAATTTAAAAATACTTTACAGATGTTTTATACTATATAGACTAATTTAAATGTAAGGTCACTGATGTGCCTCCATATATTATGTATATCATTTTGAATATATCTGGCTCAGATTGATGTTTGGGAGCTGTGCTTTTACATCATCTAATTCTGATAGTTTTTTCTAGTGGCGGAGGAAACAAATGAAAATAATCGATTTCTGATTTTATCTCAATTATATGTAGCCTGACAGTCATTCAAATGTGTACTTGAAAAACTGAAACATTACCTTTAATTGAATCTCTTATATCAATATTTCACATAACTGTATTAGGTTAGTTAAACTTAATATTATTGGTTCAACTTGATATTATTGATTTCAACTAACCTAATAGTTATGTGAAATGTGTTGACATGATACATTAAAATGAATGTCAATGTTTCAGTTTTTTCAGTGTGTGAATGCTAATTGGACTAGCTCCTCAAACTTGAGTAATTTTCCCTATTGAGAGGTTGTAGCTGAGCGTCGGTCTGCCACCCTCACACTGAGGCCTGAGCGTGTTCCCTGAACGCACCCTCCACTTCTCTGATGACGACAACATTCTATTTGTATTTAAAAGACTATTTCTTGAGTTTGTACAGCCACACATTTTTAGTATATTTTCACATTAATATATTTATTGCTGTAAAATGTTTTACACTATTAATACTCTTTGTTGTTTTTAGTGTAAGTATTAAAACATAATATTTATTTTGAAAAAAAAAAATCTGTTCTTCTTATTATTTGTCTTTGAAAGCTTGCGTTTTTAGAGTGAAAACCTTGTCGGATACAGCTGAGTGGAACATTACAGGACAGATATTTCACATCCCGTTGATCATTCACAGACATGATCTGTTGCCAGGTACAATAGTTTGTTGGTGTACATTTCCAGCAAAGGGTAGCAAGATATTTCTAAGATTAATTTATATGTCCTGGGCGCCTCCCTAGGGAGGTGTTCCAGGCACGTCCAGCTGGGAAGAGACCAAGGGGTAGACCTAGAACCAGATGGAGGGATTATATCTCTTCGCTGGCCTGGGAGCGCCTTGGGATCCCCCAGTCAGAGCTGGTTGATGTGGCCAGGGAAAAGAAAGTTTGGGGCTCTCTGCTGGAACTGCTACCTCCGCGACCCGACCACGGATAAGCGGGAGAAGATGGATGGATGGATGGATAATTTATATGTGTTTGATATACTGTATTTGAACTGGTTGGGATTAAATCATAATTGTTTTTATAATGCTACAGTAGTTTCCATTGTATTCTCATGTGCTACTGTTTTTGAAGTCTACTTCAAAAAGTACTAACGTTGAGTATTTTTTGTTAAGTTCTCAGTAGTTAATTAGTCATCTTTAATAATTTTTTTGGAGCCATTGTGTATTTTGTTGCCTGTTGGGTCTCTCGTGTTGTAAACTGCAATTTGGCAAAACTGTCAATAATGGGTTTTTTCTTTTTTTTAAAACAAGGACAACCTTTTCATAATCTCAACCAAGAACACAGTGTTTTCTGTACATAAAACATAGGTGAAGTCTCTTTGAAACCACCCAGAGTTTTCTGATGAGGGCAATCGAGGTCAAAGTGTTTGGCTCTGGCCTTAGTCATCTTGGTAGTGACAAGACCACCTGACTCCCAGTCTCATTCATACATGCAGACAGAGGTAGATCATTATTTGATTAGTTGAGTTTCAACCCAAAAATGACGTATTTAGACCAAAACTGTTTTTTGTACCCGGCTGTCAAGTTGGCCTTTTAGTATGGGGGTTTGTGGGGATTGACTCCCTTTTGGAGCCGCCCCTTCTGGCCACTTGAGGAACTACAGTTGTTGGCATTTGGGTGTTGGCTTCGTCTTTCATCATTGGGTGTCCACAATATTCCAGGTGCTGCCAAAAATGAAGTGGGCGTCAGAAAAGACCAGGTCAGGTCAGGTCACTCCCATAGCCAAAAGGCCGTTGGGGCACTTTGATGACATCACTACTCGTGTGTGTCAAAACATCTCGATCTTCCACCCAAAAAATAAATGTCAGTTCATGTTCATGATCGGGCTGTCGGTCAGACGGTCACTAAACCGACTCTTGCACACAACTCCAGGATATTTGAGCTGTGTGTGTAGGGTGTGTGCACCTAGCAGGAGTGTCAAAGGGTCGATGAGTTCCCCCATTCAACTGGGAAACCAACGGCCATCTATACCTGGAGAGAAGATCAACACCACCAGGGAAACAGCTGACTGAAACATAATGTACAGTATTACCACAGCATATCACACAGGCAGGACCACACATGCCAATGTACTCACAATGACAATGGCTTGTTTAAAACCTCAGTACCAATCTTCATGGCAACCCATTCCTTTTAGTTTTCAAGACGTTCCACCTGCTGATGGACCAAAGTGGTGGACCGACCAATCAGCAGTGCCATCCATGCGGCAACGCCGCAGCAGGTTTAACCTCCTGATTTGGGCACAACATCGACAAAACTCTATGGGTCATTTGGTTTTGATGGATTTCTTAGAAGTGACTGTTAACAGCTTTATAAATGTAGTCCATTTACCAATTACTAGGTACAATAAGCACAATGCACAGGTGAAGCAACATGTGTATTTCCTGATCTTTTCAGCCTCATAAGCAGAGGCATTTTAGTCTTACTGTATGTTTTGAATTAGATTGGCTTTCAAGTACTTCACTTGAAATGTTTACACCTCAATGTTGTTATTGAATGACTGATTCAAAACATTTGAAGATCCTGCAGTCCTGATGTTGTGCAATAAAGACATTTTGGGAGCGCTGGTCCAACTCTAGGGTAGCACTTTCACAAAGGATTAGGAATTAATGTCATACACAAGTGTTGAAGCACTTCAGAAAAGAAGATTTCAGGCATAAATTAGGCAGTGCTGGGTTTGGGTGCTACTAAATACTCAGAAGAATGCTGCAAATCATTTGATCTGTGATTAAAGGGAATTATTTTTCAATATCAGGCCAACTTTGCCCTCATGTTATTTAGAGTTTGGCTGTATTTTCAAATGCTCTTTCACTAATGCCAGAAACAAAAGGGAACCTACTGTAGGACCAAGAAATCTGTGTTTAATGCAGGGGAAAACCTGCAGGTCTGAAAAAAAAAAACTTCTGTAACGTAATGATCATCTTCTGAATAAAACATCTTTGCTGATGTTTTTTCGAGTCTTCTGGTCAATCAGAATCAAGATTGTAGCCGGAAGTCCCCACGGAGAATAACTTTGCGGTAGAACTATTCTTTATACATCCATGGGTACAACTTCAGATAAAAATGAACACATAATGACATATCCTCTTAAGCCCCAAGCCTGTTTTTCAGGTTTCAGGCTCGAAAATGACATTCCCAGAACAAATGACCATATCTACCCTTTTAAAAGGGTTAAATTAATAATCTTTTTTCTCAAAGTAATGATAAACCTGTGAGTTGGATGTAGAAAAGTCAGAATCAATATAGATGTTTTTTATTTTAAAGAAAATTCAGATTGAACATGGTAAAAAACTGTAAATTATAGTGTCCGTCCAAAAGATATGTTGTACTTATAGTGACAACTAACCTTGGATGATGGGTTAGTAGACTAAAAGCTTTAGGAATCCAAAGTACAACATATAATAAGTACCCTGTATCAAGATTGATGCAAAACAAGTGATAGTTGACCTTTTTAGACAGATTTAGCAAAAAAAACCTCTTCTGGGGCCATTAGGGTGGATTTTCCATATCTCTGGCCCCCCTTCTTCGATTTTGACATGTGACATCTCTTTCTGATCTTTAGAGCCAATAGAATCGAAGGGAAATCATCCCCACACACACATGTTAAAAAAAAAAGATGGCGTCTTCGCGCATTCAATGAAGCTACAGAGCCTAGAAATGGCCTGCTCTACTTTTTTAAAACGGAATTGCAGTTTTATTGCTTATAGATTATCAGAACATTTCAAA